ATATATAGCTGGAAGTAACAAAAACATTTTCAAGGGAATGATATGCTCTGCTGGGTTGGATCTCATAGAAAATCACAGGAAATGGTGCCTTCAATCATCTTCATCCTCTGAAATGTTGGATGAGTTCAGAGAGCTCACCTAGAAATGACCTCCCATGCAATGGTTGTCAGCCTTGGTTGAAAGTTCAAATCATCTGAAAAGCTTTTAAAATTCTCAACACCCACACTATGTGAATGAACTCAGAGACTTCAGGGATGAGACCCAGGCATAAGGATGTTTTCAAAGTTCCCAGGATGATTCCAGTTTATTGCTCACTGCCCCTCTGGAACTTTGCAACCCCTGCTCCAGATTCCTAGATGTGATCATGGACATAGCATAGATAAAAACTGGGTCAGAGATGGGGTAACAAGGTTTAACCTACTTCACTATCTTATTCCCAATTGAATCTTCCATTCCCACTCTGTTTACAATAACCAGTTTTTCAAAATTAATTCCTTCCAGGCCTGGTGGTGCACACCTGTAATATCAATAGCTTTGGAGGCTGAGGAAAGGAGGTTCAAGAGTTTGAGGCCAACCTAGGAAACTTAGCAAGACCCTGTCTCCAAATAAAATAAAAAGGGATAGGAGTGTGGCTCAGTGGTAGAGGACCTCTGAGTTCAATCCCCAGTAAAACACACACACACACACACACACTCTCTCTCTCTCTCTCTCACACACACACACACACACACACACGCACACACACACACGCATCTTAGCCAAAAATTAAAAATTTCAAGAAATCTATTATATAGCTTCACTAAGAAACTGAATCATAAGCAAAACTTGGTGAAAACAGGAATATTTTAAAAGAATAACTTAAAGAATAAAGAATGCATAGGCATGACAGTTATTTTAAGACCCTTCATTTGCTTCTAAGTTTATATATGTGTCAAGGATCAAAAGCACCAAATAAAAGAAAAGGAAAAGAAAAAAGTTTTAAATAATTTAAGGATCAGAATAAGAAGACAGTAGACCCTTCTATCCTTAAGGGATAGGACCCTCAGTGGGTGCCTGAAATTTTAAAGAGTACCAAACTCTGTTTGTTTTTTCCTATACATACATGTAAATTCATAAATTAGGCACAGTAAGATATTAAAAATAACTAATAATAAAGTAAAACAATCATAACAATATTATATATATAATATATATTTTTTAGTTGTTGATGAACCTTTATTTTTTTATTCATTTATTTACATGTGGTGCTGAAAATTGAACCCAGTGTCTCACACATGTGAGGCAAACACTCTTCAACAGAGCCACAACCCCAGCCCTATTATAATAATGTATTATAATAAAAGTTATGTGAAGTGATATCTCTTTCAGGGTATCGTATACTATATATACTAAAGGGAGGGTAGAGTATACAGTGTGGAAACAACAGACAAAGGAACAATTCACATCCCAAGTGGTATAGAGCAGGATAGCACAGATTTCATCATGCTATTCAGAACAGCATGCAATTTAAAACTTACAAATCATTTATTTCTGGAATTTCTTATTTAATATTTTTGGACTTCAGATGACTGAAGGTAACTAAAACTGTTACCTTTGTAAAGTGAATAAGGGGGTGAATATAAAAAACTATATTTTACAAAGAGCAGAAAAGTTGTTAGGAAAAAAAGAAAAAAAAAACCTAAGACCAGTAGAAACTAGGTAGGTCTTGGCTCTGGGATTTTCCCACTGCATACTGCACTGTGACAAAGAAGCCACCTAACCTTTCTGAGGCTCACTTTCCTCCTCTGTGATGAGCATCCTCACCCCAGAGATGCCAGTCCTCACTATCAGCTGGACATACTCTGATTCTGTTATTTTTAACTCTGAGTTGAACAGGTTAGAAGTAACATAAGCCTTGTCTTTCTTGAGATGAAAGCAAGAAGAGCATTACTAATTAAAGAATGGTTCAAGAACTCATCCAGGACCATGGCTGTTTCTTACCAATACACAACAGATAAGAATCTGAGAATCATGGTTTAGAAACCTGCATAGTAATTTAACAATCTCTGTTGAATCACATAATAAAATATTGAGACTTGTTTTTTCATATCTTTGGGTGTCTATCTCATACTAGGGATTGAACCCAGAGCCTCTTTGAGCATGCTAAGTGCTCTCCTAGTAAGCTACATCCCCAGTCCTCTTTTTTTATTTGTTTGTTTGTTTGGTTTTTGTTTTGAGACAGTCTCACTAAGTTGTCCAGATTGGCCTTGAGCTTGTGATCCTCCTACTTCAGCATCCCACGTTCCTGGGATTACAAATGTGCACCACCACACCCAGCTATCTTTGTATTTTGATTTCACATTTTTAGTAATCAGGTTTTACTATATTTTATAAAATGTATGCTCATAACTTAAAAAATTATACCCATCAGTAATTTGGGACATACTGAACTGGAGGAACAAGATTGCCTTTAGCATCAGTGCCAATGTGCATTCAGAAAGGAAAGAGTGAATGCAGAGTAATTGATTTTTGCCTTGCACATTTTGAGTTTGATTTTAAAGGCCCATTTCATTTGATCTTAGGTTGTTCTAATTGACAGTTATTTTCTGCTATAAGTTTATATAAACTGTTAGATGCTTCGTAAAAGAAAACAGCATGTATTAGAATCAGGAGATAAAGCGTTGATTGCAGTCGTGTTAGCTCATCTCCTAAGAGAAGTGACAGTATAATATGCCAGGGAACACAAAGAAGTAATTAATTCTTCCTGGGGAAGGTAGGTACTTTCTTTTATAAGAAGAGAATTAAGACAGTCTTTTCTGAGTGGGAATAGCTAATCACAGGGTTTCAAACCGTTAGCATAGGGACACCCTTATTTAAATACAAGGAAGCCTACAGAGTAAGTTAATTTCCCCAAGATCATGCAACTAGCAAACAGGAGACCAGGATTCAAACTGAGACGTGATTCTCAGGTTTGCCTACATTCTCTGCAGCCCTGGGCTCCTCCACCATAGAAGGTGTTTCAGGGAGGACCACAGACTGAATGCTTACAGAAACTTCCCTTCAGGAGGCTGAAATGATGAAATAGGGCAATAAATATTTTTAAAATATGTAGTGCTTATGAACCTTCTCAATATATAAATACCCCTGGTTCTATTTGGAGATTTCTGCACATAGACAAGATCAATATTTGTTCCAAGCTGATTTGCACATCACAGAGAAAAATATAAGAGAAAAAAATCAGTGTTGTTCATACCAGCTGACTTAATGTAGAGGCTCGTTTGATCTTGAATACTAATAAATATTTCCAAAAGCAAACATCCTAGGTCTTTTAGAAGTGGGACAACCCTTTAAAATAAGAGAATAACCTTGAGAATTATCAAGTCTTTGCAGAGATGATATAGTCACAGAGAAAAATCCAGAAACTGCATCAATCAGTTAAAACATGTCTATTTAGTGAAATAAGCAACATTGCTATTTCAGAGAAATATTTGCACACAAAAAAAAATCGAAGTTGGTAACTATTTGGCTGTCATTGTCTAGTTTTAACTTGAGAATATGGCATTTATTTGACTTCATTATTATACACTAATGGGTATTAAAATCAACAGTAATTCTGATTTGGTTTTGTGAGGTTGTTTTTCCACACTCTAAAACATTCAACAACACATTTTATCCTCCTGGCACATGCTTGCCACCTTTTAAAAACAGAGAGTAAATGAGCCCTCCGTGCTAAGCATCACTGATATCAAGTTAATATTTGATAAAGGAACCAAGCTTTTGATACCAAAATCAGCTGGGCAGGTACAATGGTATGTTCATTTTACTAACAGAAATGATTCAGATTAAAAAGAAGAACATTGTCTTCTCTGACCATCACCTGGTATGGACCACACTGAATTTTTTCTCTTAACATTTTTCTGTGTGGTATGCAAATCAGTTTGTGTCAGATATTGATCTTATAAACCAGGGGCATTTACATAATGGGACAATACATAAGCATTTTACATTCTTTTAATATTTGTTGCCCTGTTTCAGAGTTTTGGGTGCCTGAAGTGAAGCATCTATAAGCATGCAGATGAATGTTAAGAGTGGAGGTGTGTCTGAGATTGTTACAGCAGTAGTTCTGAATCTCCAGGTTGGAGCAACAAGTCATTTCTTAAGTGAACCTGTAGCTGCCTATGAGAAGTCTGGGTTGGTCTTGATTGGAATCTGCCCAGCTGTCAGTGTTCTGGCTTCTGAGATACAGATGGCATACACCAGTGATACATAGCATATATGAGAGACAGCAAGAAATAGAGAAATAAAAACACAATAAAATCTAATTACACGGAGTTTCGCTTAAAACAAAAATTGATTGAGTTCTGCCCAAAGTGGCTTGTTGTTTCCTGTGCCAGGAACTACTGTGCGGGCCCAGCAGGAAGTGTGCTACAGAGCAGGATCACCTTACAGCCTCGTTTTATGGTTCATTTCACTTATTTAATGCAATCTGAGAACCTGCAAAAGGAGCATGTTAGGAGGAGGGAATAGTCTTTTTGTCTTGTTTTGTTTTGTTTTAAGTGTCTTTGAATCAAAACATTTGTTTTTGCAAGGTGTTTAAACTCCCAGAGAAACAGGACTTCTAGAGTTGCTAGATGGAGACATTTTTCTTTGTCACACAACGTAAAGCAAGACGCATAGTTGTGTCTAGAGTTGAGTCCTGTTTCCTTTGCTGTCCCTACCCATATCATCTTAAACATGAAGAGTTACCACCCAGCCCATGAATGGTCTAAATCATTTTGAAGTCTAAATCATTTTGAATTCCATGTGAGCTCTTCCTAGAGTCTCCGATTTGACAGAGAGCCCATGATGTTGGTGGGTGGAGGAGGGGGGTGGAGATTTCGGTTGGAAAATTGCAATTCATTTGTCAGGCAGAGGAATGAGCTCATTTCAACTGTGATGCTTGGAATTGTGTGAACTGAACAGCTGGATTTCCTTGTGGCGGCATACACTGCTCCTCACACGCTGTCTGTCTTCCCCTCCAGAGACCTCAGTATGAACAACATCAGCCGACTGCCCCCGGGTCCCCTGCACAGCCTCCGCTTCCTAGAGGAGCTGTAAGTATCACTGGAGTCCCGTTGCATCTAGTCCACCTGGGACACGTTCTTGTGTGCGCCTCTTGTACTTGCTGTGGGAACCAGATAACACAAGGCAGAGAAGCTGTCAGCACCAACAACTTTGGCACATGAGGAAACACTTAGTTGAGACGGGGGGAGGAAAAAAAATTGCTTATGATTCTGGAAATCAACTTATAAAAGAGTTTACCATGAGGCTACAACTTTCTAAGGTGAGACTGAGCCAAACAAATTAAAATTTTAAAACAAAGGCTGTTTAAAAGAGCTGGATAGCTCTTTGGAAATAGTTAAGCAGCAGGATATTAAAAGTTTGAATACTGGTTCATGTTTATTAAAATAGCAAGTAAAGCTATAATCAAAACCAAAACCTGCTGCCTGGTTTCGGCTTGTGACTGGGAGAATTGAGTCCACATTGCATAGCACCAAAACCTCTTGTCCTAATCACTTTTAATTACTATTTCCCTACTTTTAAATTTAGCTTCCCTCGAGGCTTCAACAGAAAAACATGAAATCCATGGAAGACTTAAAGCTGGGCTCTCTTATATTCACTATTAAAAAATTTAAAAATAAAAAAGGAAGAAGCTAAAATTAGTTAATGATACACAGAGGAGCCCTGATTAAGCCTAGTAATCACTTTCCAGAAGATGAAAAAGAACTCTATAAACCAAAAATCTGCGTTTCAATATTCATTTGATCCTCTTACCCTGTGGAGGGATGGAAGCGACACACCGCCAGTCCTCGGGAAGAGCGTTTGGCACCATCAGTTGAGGAAATCCTCTGACTGTTGATTAAAGGAATTGTTTAGGCAATGGACCCTTTTGAAAATGCTTCCTTTATAAATCCTAAAGTTGGGGTCCAATTTGGGCGTAATTTAAATTGTTGATGTACTACAGAATCCACCATGGAGATGGAAAGAATGTCCCATCAGAACCAAATTGTGCTACATTGATCATCTCTTCAAGAGGGTGATATTCTCAGATTTCCCCCGTGCAAGAGTTTTATCTATATTTCTTTTGGGTGACATTATATTTTTTTTAAATGCTATTGTTTTTACTACTAAAATCAATAGAAAATGACCAATTTCTTCTCGAGGGGCATGGTAGGGGATCGGAGACTGCGAAATCGTACAGCGAATTTTTAACATTCAGAGAATGGATATTCACTCTGAGTTCCTGGCTCCTCTTTTTCCCTATTCTTTTCTCTCAGGTCATTTACCTTGCAAGGTATGAACCTTCATAAAAGCTGAAGCCATGTGTGTCTTAGTCACTGCCGGCATCTAATCAATAATCAATATATTTTTGATGAGTGGACTAATGAGAAAGTCAAACATGTAAAAGGAGCTTCTTACACATGTTAAAAGCATTAGTTAATATTTTAATGATTATTTTAAGTAAATTTCAAACGTCAGAATTTTTCTTAATTATTTCCTTCTCATTCTCTGGCCTTACCACAACTAATAGTCCTGTTTGCTCCTCATTTCTAAGATATGCCTCCTTTCTTATCCTTTTCTCTTTAATTTCCTTCTAACATCCTATTGCAAAATGCTTCCCTTCTCCCCCAACACACACCTCAACTTTAGAACACAAACTGAATCCATAAATAATTCACTTTCCCAAGGACTTTGTTAATAGAGTTCCTTCCTCCATGACCCAACTCATTCAAAATAACTCCTCTGTCTTCATGAGTTGAATGCTAATTCTGTTCAGATGCCAGTTTTTCAAAAGATAATTGAGAACAATCATAAAAAGTAAGCTAGGAGATGAGGAAGGAGAAATACCATTTAAAAATTCTGTTTTTCTATATTGTCTTTTATTTCTCTCTCCAGAAACTTCATCAGATATCTTGACCGTAGAACCATAGAATTTTAGAAACAGAGGGGACCCTTTAAAGACTATTTATTCCTTCTGTCCTAGAATTCCTTCTGCTGAGCTAGCTGACTTGCTGAATTTAAAATGAAGACTGCTTTTCCATATATACCTCTGAGCTGCATCTAAATTATGTTTTGAAGACATCACAATGGGTTTCATTGCAAGAAAGGATAGTATTTAACCTGGAAAAATGATCAACTGTACTTGGTTTACTTTTTTGTTCCCAAGGCTAAATTAGGGGATGAAGATTTTTATAAAAAAAAAACACTCCTTTAGCAGAGCATTTTGATTATTTCTTTATTATGTGGCTGATTTTCTCTATTAAACTTAGCTCTGTTTAAGTCCATATTTTCTTTTTAGAACATAAGATCTTCAAAAATGATAATATAACAGCAATCATAGCTTACTCTGTTCCAGTAACTGTTCATAGTGCTTTATGCACATCATCCCACTGAATCCTCTTAACAACCCATCAAGGTAGAGATTATTATTCCCAGTTAACAGATAAGAAAACCAAAGTACAGAGAAAAGAAGGAACTTACCTAAGAAGGAACTTACCCACAGCTAAAATTCTGGCCTGGGTCAAGGCTGATTCACAGTGACTTTGAAAGCTGTGCTTAGACAAGGGAGGAAGAGTTTGATTTGTCCTGGTTCAGCTGTACCTTGCTCTTTCCCAGTAGCACCTAATGCAGAAATTTATGTAGTCCAAATCTTTTCAGTGTCCGGGAGAATGAGTCATGTAATGATAGGTGTGTAGGTATGGGCCCATGTCTGCATCTGTGTGGGGGAATGAGAAAGGAGGCAAAGAGAACCATTTTCCCAGGAGGGAGAGGTCAGAGATTCAGGTTATTGATCTTCTAGCATCATATATTAGCTGAGAAAAATATTATCAGAATTTTCAGATACAGAGTATCTGAATGTAGCATTGTTCAATGGGTTTACAACTTTAGTTAACATTTTTATATGTAAAAATAGATGTTTAAACACCATATTTATGTGGTATTTTACTTGAACTAACATCCAGAAAGCCAGATACAGATGCTTAGATACCTGCCAGGGTGTGATATGTGTGCCTTTTATGACATAATTAGGAAACTGTTTGAAATTGTAAAGTCTTAAAGTTACCAAAAAAAGCATAAAGTCATTTGGTTTATTCAGCTCATGTTATATTTTATCACTTTATGCATCAAATAGGAAACTGCTACTGATACTGTCAATTATATTAAGAAAACACAACTGGAAAATTCAGCCTTTAAAAATCAGTATCGATAAAACCAAGTTACCACCCTTTCCCTTAGTTCTAATAACCCAGTGTATCATTTCTCTAATTTTCTTCATTTAACTGTGTTATAAACTGTGTAGACAGCCATGCTTTGCCCCTCATCTATCACTAAAGCCTAACAAAGGTGCCATAGTTCAAAGCTCTGGAGATACAGAGTTAATGTTTAAAACAACATGTAACTGGATAAAGTGCCTATCTGGAGCAAATATTTAAGAAGAATAAAAGCCATCACAGTAAATGGTCTCCCCCACCTCTCTCTCTAGTGTGCATTCTAAATTAAATTACATTCTAGAGTAATTGCTGCCTGGGCCACAAGTTTTCGGGTCTTGCTTGTTATTTGCTATTTATTGTTTTATGATTCTGCAAAGTGACCAGGTGTGCATAGGCCAATCATTTTACTGGTGGCGATGTACTAGGACTAAGAGGAGAGTCTTTGCTTTTGGAAAAAAGAGAGAGAGAGAGAATTCTAAATGTAGGGAGACCGGGCTGCACCTGAGAAAAGAGTGCAGCATCTAGAGCCAAAGCCCAGAATTTCCTTTCCTGGCGCTGCCATTCACTCGCTGGTAATCCATTCAACCTCTCTGGGCCTTGGAGAATAATAGTGAGAGCCTCTCTGCCTATCTTTGAGGCTGTTTCTGAGGATCAAATGAAATGATGTTGAAAGAACTTTGGTAAATTATAATCTACATATTGTTGTATTCATAAAATGAAAACATCTTCAAGAAGATTCTAACTTTTTCCTGTTTCATGAACCTGATTTTGCAGGAATCCCAGAAATCTGGGACCTGTGAAGGAAAAGCTATTTCCAGCTCTGATGTCTAATGACCATAGCTAATGTTGGCAGATAGTTCTTTACCAAATTTTCACAACCTGAACAAGCATTGCATTTCTCTCTGCCAATACCTCTCCCAGCTCTTTAGGTTCAGTTCTGCTAAGGACATCATATTCATACTTCGTGGACAAATAAAAGATCTTACATTTGGCCCTAAGAGTGTGGTTTACAGAGCTAATGGCAAATGATACTTATCGCTAGCATCTACAAATTACAGTAAACTTAGATTAGTAGTCTCATTAAACCAGGGAGGACTCAGTTGTTTCCATTTTTAAAATAGTCTAAGTTAAAGGCTTTTATTTCCGAGTAGCATTTTAAAGTCTTCCCAGATTTTAATGCTATTGGAATCAAATACTCGATTTAGAAAAGAAACATGAGATGCTCTAGGGAGGTCTGTTTTTAAGTTATTGTTCCCTGGAACTGTTTGCTCATATTATGGTTGGCCTTGAGGAATCTCTATATAAATAGCAGATATCTATTATTACAGATGAAATTTCTAATGAGAGACACTAGCAAACTTCCTGAAAGTGTAATCTGTGCTCGCTGCTTGTACTTCCTCGCCATGTTACTGAAAATGGTGAGAGCTGTCCTGCCTATCTTTTGAGTTTTGTTTTGTTTTTCCTGCAGATCAAGTGAAATGATGATGAAGAACTTTGGGAAATGATAATGCACATATTGATTGTATTTGTAAAGCCAAAACACCTCCATGCCCATGAATGATCTTCATTGGGCTTGTCACAGTGATTAGTTTCTTGTTCTCATAATTCTGGCAATTGATTATAAATGCTGCTTCCTTAAAACTCATGGCAATGATTTTAGTTCTCTTCCATGTCTATCCATACAACTAGACATAAGCATTTAGACAGCTGTTATTGTGTGTGTGTGTGTGTGTGTGTGTCTTGTGTTGACAGTTAGGACCCTATTTTGAAAGTACCCTACCTCTCTGCCTCCTTTTTTTTCCCCCCTTTTTCCCTTTGGCATTCCGTTCTCCCTGATTCCT